AAATGTTAGGGACTTTCGCTGGCACAAAATGAACATTAGGGTAAAGTCTGCAAAAAGTGAAAATGTTAGAGACCGCTAATGCAATTTTTCCTATTTTTTATATAAACAGCATCTTTTACTATCAAAATACTTTTCATATAACTTTTCAAAAGAATCTTAATTTTAAGGATATTTTTGGAAGTTGTTAATATTTTCTACATTCTTTATACCATAAAAGTTATTTTAAGTCCAACGTACTAAACTTAGACTCCTAACGTGGTAATGAGCACCATCAAATGCAAGATTGCATCAAAGGTCTTCTATAACTATAAGACTGCGTAAACGCTAGAAAATACTATAAAATTTATGGTGGAGTGGAGCAAACGTTACCGTTTTCTTCTTCCTTTTTTCAATTTTTTAGTCTTTTTTTATTTTATTTCTAAAACTTAGAAATTTATGTGCTATACTTTGAACAGTTGGACTACTCAATCGTCACGGCATTGACCGATCCTCTGTCCAAACTCCAAAGGCTTGACTCTTGAAAGAAACAAGTTCCCACCCCCACGATTTAAAAATATTCGAATTTTTGGAGAAATAAGCTCTGGAATTTGATTATTACAACTATACTTCTTGAAATATTAATTAAACTATAACAGAAATATAGAAATGCCATAATTTATAGATTGCCAAATGAGGGATTGAAAAAGAAGAAAAAGTTTTCAATTTACGTATATTATTTTATAGAAGATTGTATAGTTGAAAATAGAAAAGAAAAATTAAAATTTAATCTAATGAGGAGCCAAATGGGACCAGAATTGGAGATACCATTGTCTCTAGGACAGAAGTTCCATAAAAATGGGAAATGCCTTATCTTTGACTTTTGTGTGCGGTTTGAACCATTGATTTACGTAACTAGAAATAACTAATTAGGTTTACAATGAAACTTAGAAATCTATCACTAATCAAATTTGAGAACCTCTATAGGATAGATCTCAACAAAAAAATTTAAGAGTAACAACAGCGAGTTATCAAGTTCACTAGTTACCTATATAAAATTATTGACTCTAGAAATATAGTAATATGGAGAAGACAAATTTGTTTCAAGCATCAACGGAATCAAAATCATCCATTCTTTCAAACTTTCAAAGAGAGGACGACGAGTTATTAACATTTTATTTGATAGTTAGTGGCAAATTGAAAGCTAAGCAGTGGGAATTCTAAAGATTCTCAGGAGGAAAAATAGAGATATCTCTTGCATTCAATAATATGTGGAAGTATTTACGTAATTTCTCATTCAATATAAATGCTACATGAAGAACTTAAGCCAGATGACGAAATAGGAAGACCTGTGATGTAGAAGATCATACCATGAATGATTTGACAGATTTAGAATCATATAGATATCCACTCATATGGTACTTCATTGCATCATCTACAACCAAAAAGTCGTATGTTTTTTAAGAAGCTTGTAAAGTTTGGAAGGGGGCTTTGATTTTGAGGGAAAAAAAATCTACTTCAACCGATATGCCCTTAGACATGGCCATACATAACATATAAATTACACTTGAAAATAATGGACAATTAGTTAGAGCCGTAGGTGCTGTAGCGAAAATGATTGCAAAAGAGGAGAAATCAACCACATTAAGATTATCTCCTATCGATGTTTGTTTGATATCCATGTATCTGGATCAAATAAGACATGATTTCACTACTATCGACAACTTAACTGAGGTATAACTTTATTTTTTATTTTGTTATTCTGAATATTTTCTACGCATGAGATTATGCATCGCTTTTTTAATATTGGTATACTTTATTTGTTAAATTTGATTTGACATATTTGTTACAAGAAAGCATGGGTCAAAATTTTCAATTATTCTTCGGGTTTTGGTATGCAAAGTTCCTTTTCGCGGCATGCAATTATACAACTGAAACATTGTAAATCTTTTATTCTAAATTAAATTTAATAGAAAGCTTTAGCCATCATGTATTTTATGGAATACAAACAAATGTTACAAAATCGTTAAAATTTCACTTGCAATACACGTGTTAAAATTTTCCACACAACAGCATTTGTCTCTCATCAAAATGACAGTCTTTATCACAAATTAGAAGTACTATGTGAAATTCTCTACCATAATTTTCACATAATATACATGATAGCATCCAATTAAAGAAGGGCAAAAAAATAAAGAAAAAAGATCAACCAGGTGCTGACACATCAACATTTGGTGGAATTTTGACACTTGTGCTTCTATAAAAGCAGACAAATTGATCACAAATTGCATTTCTTAATAGGAAAAATGTGTAAATTTATCATAGTTCAATCCGGTCTCCTAAATTTTAACCAAAATATTTAAGAAGAAAGTGCGGCTTGATTAGTAAAAACATTTTGATGAAATAGGAAAAACAATTTTTTTTCCTTTCTTGAACTTTACCATTGTTAATCAGGATGATACTATGCGCACATACTTCGATTCCCTCCATGTGAGGAGGTAAACACTGATATACATATCATATTATATACAAGTAGCATATTTTCGTTAATAAACTAATAATTATTATTTTATTTGACAACTTGAACTAAACACCTTAATTTTGCATCGGCCTCCCAAAATTGATGCACGACATGACCATCTCGAAATGGTCAACGCTGAAAGAAATTTGAAAATATTCATTTCAGCATCTTTTTTTCGGTGTATATCACTCTCCAGATCGATCCCTTCATTTCGTCGCAAGTTGGTCATGATTCAAGCGTGTTCACACGCTCCGTAGCTTAGAATAGAATGCGCGAGAGAAATTTAAATCAAGATTAGAGAATTTTCTAATTTATTAATTATATGTGTGTCATTATCAAGGTGGTCAGTATACGGTGATGTTTTTCTTTTACTTGAGCAGTGTGTAAATCCATTGTCGATAATTAAATAAATTTACAGATTCACTGTCCTTAAAAATGTCGACCCTTTTTTCCACCATAGTTCAAAATGTACAGATTCATCTCAATTAAATTTAGGGCCCTACTGATCTTGTTGGAAGCACGGAATTTAATTAAACGGCCTAAAAATATTCACGCATAATCCTTGACACAAAAATTGAATTATCGATGATCATATGTGGTAGTAGGTCACAACTACATTATTTAATGACTAAAGTTGTCTAGTACCAATGGTGATAGAGCACCAATTTAAATGATAACATTTGTTAAGTTTAATTAAATGAATAATGAATTACGTGACATTACATTTAAGTGAATCCATTATTTAATATCACGCTTTGCCATATAGGTTGATACTTGACACCATTGATTTTGAATAGCTTTCTTGTTATTCAATATCGAGAAATACATTCATACTTCACTGGATTATCGCATGAAATGATGATCTTTTGGACTTTTTAGATGAATAACATCGTTCATAAAGATAACACAATTTTCCGTAAAAGCTGTGAAAAGTAGTATCTATGAAGAGTTTTGTAACACAAGACTCAACTAACGAGCTCAACAATGGAATAATCACTTATTGCACTTCAACGATGAATTTTGTTTTTGTACGTTAAAAATTACAGTAAGAAAATTCTTTTACCTTAAATGAGAATAATAACGCAACATGCCTATTTGAATACGTCCATCAATCAATTAGTGTTCAATCTATTTTATGTATGTATGCATGCCTCACAATGCATTATTTGGTATGTAGGTACGATGATAATCAATAATAATGAACAACATTATTTAAAAACTAAACATTCATTTAAAGTTTACTTCATGTCATGATTTTAACGAAAAAAAGCACAACGTGGCTTGAATTATTAATCCATGTTGATGATCATAAAATATACTCGTTAGAGGGTGCACTTTAGTTAAATACTTATGAACTTATGTCATAGGTAGACCAACAATGCTAAAGTAACCCACATAAAGGATCCAACAAATAGTTCATCTATTCTTGACATGAACGTGTATTATCTTAATTAATCCAAACACATTATGATGTTCTTGCTTTTTATTTGCACTAAGGTAGTGTTTGACAACCTCCGATTTCATGAAAAATGGAAATTCATTTCCATCTTTTTGCCAAAAATGAGTGTTTGATAGATAAAAAATTCTAGGGAATTCATATTCTATGATTCTTGCCACCTAAACAATTTTCCCACTTTTCTTCGGTTTACTGTAGCGGAATTTTTTTTTCAATTTTTTTTTTGACAATGAAAATAAACTCTAAGAATTATTGTAAGAAAATATTTCCCTTTAATTAATAATTTTCATGTAAAACAAAGCCAAATGAACACCAAAAGATAGATAATTTTCTTGAATTTTTTTTAAGCAATGGAAACAAATTTTATCCACAATACCAGTAAATTCAATTTCTTTAATTAACAATTTTCATATAAAACAAAGTCAAACGAATATTAAAAAATATTTTAATTTAAACATTTTTCACTTGGAAAATTATACCAATCAAACACAATAATTTACAATTCTCAGGAAAACAATTTCCCATCAATTTAATTCTCTGAAATTCATTTTCTTTCCATCCAAATTTCATATTTGCAATCAAACGGATCCTACCCTAAATACTCAACAAAATTTACATTATAGAATGGATGATTGTACATAAAAATCTCGTTAGAAATCCACTTTCACCTTTTGAGATCACAATTGAATTCTAATAGATGAAACGAAATAAAAACGTGTTACAATATTGTAAGATTCTGATCTTGAATATTTAATTTAGAACTTGAAGAAAAAAATATCAAGATTAGAAGTGCATTGATCATTATATTTCTTGGCACAAAGTCTCTAACACGACATTGTTGTTTAAAAAGTTTGACAGATATACACTGTCTTTATTCAATTATAGTAAGAAAGTTCGGCTATTTATGAGTTGTACCATCTGCAGTTGTACGTGTACTGTGTAGGATGGACCATACCAATTTTTAATGGGCGCCAAATTTCCCCCAAAAAGCTATGAACAAAAATCTTGAAAACAAATATATATAAATTCACCGAGAAAAGATTAAAAATAAGGGGAAAAAGGACAGGAGTGAAAGCTTTCTCAGATAAAACCCCTCGCCTGCTTTCTTCTTTGGCTAGCCCCATTCCCACACGCCTTTCTTCTACTTCTCTCTATATTTGAAGGGGAAAAGGAAAGAAAAAATTGAAATTACCATCTGCAGATACGAAGATGAGCCCAAGATTTGATGTTTTCAGTTTGTTTGGAAGATAATGAGCAGAGGCTTTAGTGTCTTCTTCTCGGAAGAAGATGGTTTCCCATTTTCAAGAGCATGAATCCCTTTTCCAAAATTCGATCTTTGATGCCCTTTATTGTGAAGAAGAGCGTTTTGAAGAAGTTTTAGGAGGTGGGTTTGACTTCCAGTCGCCAGAAATTGAGGATTCTAATGAGATTCATACAAAACACTTGGTTTTTCTATTTGAGCATGACGGTTTTTGGGAGGATGACGAGCTGGCGAACCTTTTGTCCAAGGAGAAAAGAGAGTTCCATTTGAGTTACAATGCATTAAACTCAGATGGATCTTTAATAATGGCGAGAAAAGAGGCAATTAAGTGGATGTTAAAGGTGATTGCCCACTATGGATTCACTGCAATGACTGCTGTTTTATCTGTTAACTATTACGATAGGTTTATTACAAGCCTTTGCTTCCAGAAAGATAAGCCATGGATGAGTCAGTTGACTGCTGTGGCTTGTCTCTCTTTAGCTGCAAAGGTGGAGGAAACTCAAGTCCCTCTTCTTTTGGACCTCCAAGTATGTCTTTTCAATGGCTTTTTATATTTCTTGTTTTGTGTATTAGCACTATAGTGGGTGTAAATGCCAACATGGATTTTGCTTTGTTATTGATTTTAAGGTGGAAGAATCCAAATATTTGTTTGAGGCAAAGACTATTCAGAGGATGGAGATTTTGGTGCTTTCTACTCTCAAATGGAAGATGAATCCTGTGACTCCAATTTCATTCTTTGACCATAGTTTAAGGAGATTTGGATTGATGACTAACCTACACTGGAAGTTTATGAGGAGGTGTGAGAGTTTTCTTCTCTCAATCATCACTGGTATGCGGATCAGTTAATTTTGATTTCATCATTGCTTTATATGAATTGGATGCATGATTTCTCTATAATAATATGGTTTATAGATGTTTTCTTTATATTCCAAATACAGATCACAGGCTTGTGCATTATCTTCCATATGCAATGGTTTATAGATGCTTTCTTTATATTTCAAATGCAGATCATAGGCTTGCGCATTATCTTTTATATGCAATGGTTTATAGATGCTTTCTTTATATTCCAAATGCAGATCATAGGCTTGTGCATTATCTTCCATTTGCAGTGGTTTATAGATGCTTTCTTTATATTCCAAATGCAGATCATAGGCTTGTGCATTATCTTCCATTTGCAGTGGTTTATAGATGCTTTCTTTATATTCCAAATGCAGATCATAAGCTTGCGCATTATCTTCCATCTGTTATTGCTGGTGCAACAATGATATATGTTATTAGAGAGATTGAGCCGTGTAGTGCAATGAAATACGAAAATCAACTAATGAATGTGCTCAAAATCAGCAAGGTTTGGGTTCTAATTACTTTGATATATCCAGCATGGCTTTGGAAATTGATTTTAAGCTTTTGCCACTCTGAAGTTATTTTAGACTTAAATGTTTAATCCTGAATTATGACAGGAATCTATTGATGAATGCTCTAAACTTATCCGGGAGGTAATGGATGGTGATGACAACAAGCCCTGTCTCAAACGCAAACTTGAGAATGTGCCAAGCAGCCCATACGGTGTCATCGATGCATATTTTAGCTCTGATAGCTCTCGCGAATCATGGGTCATCTCATCACCCGTTTCATCATCTCCTGAACCTTTGTTTAAGCGAAGCAGAGCTCGGGATCAGCACATGAGACTGGCTCCCCTAAGCAGTGTCTCTGTAAGCGTGGGTAGTACCCCTCGCTGAAATGTCATTCTCTAAATTATCTAATATTGGCTATGGTACTTCATAATCTCTCTTTTAGCTAGGGGTTCTTGTCATAATTCAGTGCAATTATATGACATTTTATAAATTCTCACTGTATTTCTGACCAACCCCATGTGATGAATCAGACATTTGTTAAACAATTGACTCCACTGCCACTTTGAATGGGAATGGAGATTGAGATTGGAAAGAGGGATTATTGGCTCTATAATGTCTCCTTGCATGTCATACATAAATATAATTACTATTGCCGACTTTTGATGAAAAACCATAAGCGATGGGTGTCCCCAAGTATTTGGCTGTTTTCTCAAAGGAGGAATTAATGAATTGAGAAAGTTTTTCAATGTAGGACAGGTTGGCAATGGACTAGTTGCTGTTTTAACTTTTTTTGTTTTTTTGTTTTTTAATTAAATCAAAGGTAGATAGATGTCTTGAGGGGAGAACAAGTTTTTGTACCAGTGGGATTTAGGTTGCTGTTGCATTGACTTTTCTTGGTTGGTTTTAACCTTATTGACAAAAAAAATATTTTTTTCAAATAATCTAAATCTAAATCTGAAGTTTCACAGTTTTCTGAACACATGGGTTTGGTTGAATTTGGGATTCAAGAAAGCTAAAATAATCATTAAATACTTAATAAGATATTATAAGCTTAAATATGAGCATTCTTCATATTCTGATTTTAGAAGTTGAAATAATTCTTGGTTATCGACTTGATGGAGATGTGGAAATTTTATATGAAGATGAAACTCTTATAATGATTATATTTTGGGTAGCGTTATGATGAGAGGGCATCAACATGAAAATCTATTCAACTTTGGGATTGTTACTGTGAACCTACAGTATGGTTTTGGTTTGTTAGATGGAAATTTGCAGAATAATTTGTGAGAACAGTTTTCAACGGTTTAGCTAGTCTGAAGGGCCCAACCAATAATTCTGGAACGAGATCATTTTGACCAAATCAAGATTAACTTGGAAAAGCTTTTGTATGGTCGCCCCAAAATCTTGAGTTCTTTTTTCCTTGTTTGCGTTGTGTATTCATAATGCAGGATTTCTAGAATTCGTACTTTCTACTTGAAAAAATACGGATTCGTAATTTTGAGTCGATGAAATTAGCTTTATAATTACATCCGAAGGAAGGAGCGATGAACAGAGAATTTAACATTAAGATACTAATACTTGATGCACACAACATATTTGGACATTATTAGTTGTCTATATTTTGTATCAATCATACCAAGGAAATGGGATATTTTGTCTCTTTACCATGAGACTATTTTTGTCCTAATCTCCTTGTCGAGAAAGGCTGATGAAAGTATGAAATTGTACCACACTGAAGCAGTAGTATTCATGTGAGGAAACAGAAGGGGTTAATGGTTGGCAACAGCTAGAGAAGAGCGTTTCCATGTCATTTCAGCAAGTTTTTTAGTTCAGTAATTGTTTGGCTTTTAAATGCATAAATGATGTCAAAATAGGGAATGAGTTTTGCTATTTTAACATCGGGATTTGACACCTAGCCTACACCTGACCTCCTCACAATAGGGGGCTGTGCTCAATAAAAAATTTGTGAGCTCAACACCGGAGTACTTGTAGCAAAATTTATAGGGGAATAAGGATTTGTTTGATTACAAGAATGAAATTTGGATGGAAAAAAAAAAAAGGAATTAAGGAATTGTCAATTAAATATGTTTGATCGGTACAATTTTGGTGTCTTTTGGTGTTCGTTGGGTACAATCTCTGTTTGTGTGTTTGGCTCTCCAACATTAATGTTGTGATCATGATATAAATCTGAAAGGGCCAATTCAAAATTCAAAATCCAAAATAACCAAACCTAAAATTCTTTTGCAGAAAAATTTATGTATTTGATTAATGAGGGTGTGTTGGATCATCCGATTCTTATCAATGTGCCACCAACTTGTGAAATTTTTATAAGGAAAACTGACACCCCATATTAATTTCGGAGACTGTAATAATAAACACGGGACATGTTAGTTCATATAATTTATAACTAGGGAAGAAGACATTGAGAAAATAGTTCAGTTTCCCAAATGTTCAGACATTAATATTCACCATATCTCTGCTGACTCCGTATTACATGTCGTTTTTCCTCATCAACAAAACTTCAAGAAAAAGCACGAAGCAAAAAAATTAAAATATTAATGAAATACTTTTGCATAAAGGGAGAGAAAAATGGGCCAATTACTTCTATTAGAAGACTGTTTTGTGAAGTTATCAAGCTGCAATATGGGCTGTCATAGACTGATGGTATTCTCTTTACTAAGCAAAAACTTGGTTCTTGGATTTTTAACTAATTGGACACTTACTCTTGGCAAGTCGATTTTAAGGGTAAGTTTTGCCCAATATGAGTGTTATACCACAATCGTACTTTTCAGAAATTTTTGGCACTTCAAAATTGAATAGAGTTAGGGAAAAAATACGGTTCACTTTACTGGAGATGTCCAATAATTTTATATGCAGTAGAAAGTTGACATGGTTGGGAATGCTGTTTCTGACCTGATCATTGTGATACATTTTTTTAGACTGTAATTTACTTTATTTTTCAACAACTTCAGCTCCCACCGATTCCAAATGCAGAAATAGCAATGATAAATAGGCATTCCGCTCCATAATGCAAATTATGACATGGGCCTCAAGTGTCTTGAAGTTTTCCAGGTAGAAATTGATTTAGAATAGTTTAAAATCCATTAACCACTCTGCAGATGAACAAGTATAATTAGATATGCAGTAATGAACTTACACTCGTCACATTTAATAGGCACGTCTAAAAGTTTAACCTCCTCCTAAAAAATGTTTATTTGTTCAAATTCTGTCTTCAGTATGTCCTATCACGTGCTTGTTGAATTCACATTTCATCAAATGCACGACACGTGGTAAGGACTTTGGTGGAGAGCCCATAATGTTCCAACTATAAATGCTGTCTTGAGTAATTGTATATTGTGAACTTAGTCACCTTCGGAGACTGGAGAGGAATTTCCAGAATCTGATAAATATAAATGCCACTCTTTATGGATTTGAAATGAGAGAAAAGTATACGAAGTTATGATCTTACACCAGATAATTCAATATATACCGTTTATTCGAAGTGTTTTTAGTCAAATATATTTTGGTGAAGGCACGAAATGGCTCCAATCGACTGAACAATCAAAACCGGAAATATAAGTTGATACTTTTTACACAAGATGTTAGTGGATATGAAGAACACTTCTGAAACGTGATATATATGAACCCTAAATGATTTATAATTTTCCGATACAAGTCTCTTCACATTCTTACAGTAACGTCGTATAGATACTGAATTGCAGCCTTAAACTGCGTTATGCCAGCAGAAAAACACAAATAGTTCCAGCTGTTGACAGTTCTCAACACAAAATACAGAAAGAATGATGAAAATATCTGAGATCAATGTCTTGCCTTGTTTGAAATATTGCTAGATAACCAATCTAGGCCTTCATAGAGTCCTTCGCCTGAGGTTGCACAAGTACTCTCTATATGCCTGCATTGAATAATTCTTGTTTTGCTCGATTCATAATCAGATAAAGGTTAACCAATTAAATTTCTGTTGATTTATATTTGTTTTTACAGTTACAAAACGTAAATACTGAATACAAATTATTATATACTGATCATGCCAAAAAATTGTACCTGAAAGACCTCGAACTGGATGATCGAACTACGAACTTGGACGAACTTGAGTGAACACAAACGGTTTTCGAATATCTGAAACAAAGGCAACGAGGTGTGTGCTTGTCGCCCCTCCCCCCTCCCCCCTCTGATGCGTAAGTCAGATAGGGAATTTAGTGCGTGAGGCTATAAACTGAAAATAATGAAAAATGTACCTTAAGAATGAGCTCGTGACATGTATTTATAGGTATTGATGATAGAGTTCTAGAAAGAGTTAATCATGTGAGATCCTTATCCTCGTAGGATAAGGAGTTAATGTTTGACTAGGGTTGTCAATGGGCCGAGCTGCTTGAAAGCATGAGCTCGGCCCAGCCCAGCCCAGCCCAGCCCACGAGCTCGCGGCTCGTGAGTAGACGGTGTTTTTTTTTTTTTTTGGGAACAAATAGGTAAATTGGAATACAGAAAAATAATTTTAATTTTTAAATCGTGAATTATATATAAAAAATTAGGTAAAGAATTTAAACCATCCTCCTTTATCCGGGTTTGGGACTGCCTACTTAAATTTAGAGTAGGCGGAGTTAAAAATTGTGTTATTTGTTTGTGTACAATTTTTTAAAGAAAATTTAAAATAGTATTAAAAATTATTTTTTTAAGCAACGCTGCGCGTCTCCTTGCATATAACCTTCGAAGAAAATCCCTTCTAAAAATTGAAAGGGTAATCGAATGCCCTTTCAATTCTCAGAAGTTTTCACTTCGAAGATTATATAGAAGTCTTTCACTTCGAAAATTATATATAATCTTCGAAATGAAAGACTTCTGACAATTGAAAGGGCAGTCATTCGATTACCATTTCAATTTTCAGAAGGAATTTATTTCAAATATTATATGCAAAGGTACGCACAACGTTGTTCAAGAAAAGAATTTAAAATGTAGATATATAATAGTAATAATATCAAGTACTAACAAAAATTTAACTAAATTGGTGGAAATGATTTTTCTTTTTAAAATAGAAAAAATATAAACTCTCCTCCTTTATCCGGGTTTGGGACCAGTTACTTAGATTTTCAGTAGGTGGAGTTAAAAATTGTACACGAACAATTTTTTGTAGTGTGTACAATTTTTTAAAGAAAATTAAAAGTAACGATAAGAAAAGAAAAGTTTCATCAATATAATTAAATCAAATATCACTTACTTGACGACATGTAATTTCAACATATTTATCTTGTAGTCGAAAATGAACATTCTGCCAATTCTTAACGCACATTAACGCTTCTAAAATATCTTCTTTCAGTCGGCTGCTGACCTCGCTCAAAACTCTTTTACCTGCACTAAAAGTAGACTCCGAAACAACAGTGCTAACCGGAGGTGTCAGCAAATCTTTTGCAATCGCAGATATAACTGGCCAACGTCGTTCATACCTTCGCTAGAATTCAATTACTTTGTCTGAACTTTTTTTAATTGTTTTATCTGTTGGCATATTCCGGTTTAAATAATCAATTAATTCAGTAGGCAGTGTATAGTGGTAGGAGATGAACACATTGCAGATGAATCAAATCTATGCGAATTAAT